ATCACTCCCCTCCCACCAACTCCCCCGTCCGGAGTGGCTGGGATTACGGCTGGGCCGCGATATTGATTTGCGTGGGTATAACGCCTCTCCTGCTCCATATATTAGGCGGCGTTCGTCCGTCATCCATTCAATCAAATCTAGTATTACAGCGGCTCTCCACACTGCTGTCTAATAGCATTTAACTCACAGTTTGATTTCCGCGTTCCCTGATGTACTTCAAACACTTGCCTTCAATATCCTTCATTCGCTGCTACTGTGTCAAGATGAAGTCTTTTGAAAAGCATGGAGGATGAGTGTGTATGTGTGTGTGTGTGTGTGTGTGTGTATATATGTGTGTGTGTGTGTGAAGACATGATTATCCGTGGCCTAAGGCTTAAGGTATGGAGTGCAGTGTATTTTAGAAGCTTCTAAATTAGCTGGGAAATGGGATTTTGAGACAATGGAGTGGAAAAAAAAAATAAAAAAAATTCAAATGAAAGGATGCAGTCGCAGCACTCCTTCATTTGACTCTGATCTGCTCACGCTCATGCTTTTCTACGCCTTTCTTCTTTTTTTTTCCACCCCGCTCTCTATTTTCTCTCACCTCCTTCGCTCTCACTGCTGTTTTTGAACTCAATTCTTTATCTCTTTTGCATCTCACCTCTGGCTCTCTCTCTCTCTCTCATATTCTCTCTCTCGCCCGGCCCCTCTCTCCTCCTCCTCCTCCTCCGTCTCGCTCACCTTTTCCCTCCGTAACACGGTTGACAGTGGTGATGTAAGAACCTGAGTGTAAACAGAGGGTAACCTCTCTTTGACCCACTTAAAACGGAAATTCCCGGAGAGTACGCGCGGTTGCTCACGGGTAACGACACGCCTCCGATTCATATGCCTGAGTAAATACTGGCGCCCGGACGAGCACCTGTCTGTTCATGTGTAGCCGTGCACTGACCTGTGGGCACACACACACACACACACACACACACACACACCTTGTGAAAGGCGGATCCTGAAGTGTGGTGTGAGTCCAGAGGGGACCACTGTGTGCTGTAGACGTTGGCACACGCCCCTCAGATTGGGCCTCAACTCAGTCACGTAACTCATTCATTTTTTGGTGATGGGGCGAGCGAGAGCCAATCCTCCAATCGTGATGGGAGTATCGACTCTGTGGCATCGATGAGTATCGATTACTTTTATAAAGTGTCCATTATTATTATATATATTATTATATACTATTATATAAATATTAGTGTTTAAAGTACTAAGTTATTAATCACTTCCACATCTTATAAGGTCATTTACTACATACATATGCCCCCCCCCCTTACCCCGCCCCTCCCCTTGGTAATGTCAAATTGAACTGGTCCATTCAGGTCACATGACCACTGACCAAAATAAAACAGTGACCAAGAACCGATTGGTCATTACTGGTAGCATGACTGGTAGTACATTGGTGATCGTTGTAGGATCGTGAAATTTTCAAAAAAAAACTTTTTTTTTAAGACTTTATTTTGTTAGTATCGCAGTCTGTACGACCTTTATTGACCTTTAATGAAGTACATTTTCTTCATTTTTTTTCCTACGGACCAACACTGGTCTGCGAACCATGGGTTGAGGACCCCTGCATTAGACATCTTTGTCCCTGTTTAAGTTACATTGTGTCAAAATAAAACAAAAATATGTCGCAGTAGTTACATTTCCAGTATTTGTCATGTGTTTATTGGAGTAAAACTAATCCTACAAAGTCGGTAAAAACGTTCTGGAATCTTCCATCACTAGGTGAGAGGTCAAACAGATGAAACACTGAAACCTGTTTATGGGTACTTAACTGGACCAAAAAATCCCAGCCACAGAAAAACAACAAATACAAACCTGGAAAAATCAGACTTTTTTTTTTAACTTTGATGTTGAAGTACACCAGTGAACTGTATCGCCTGTTTATAGATTTACTTTTTAAAAATATTTCTCGAGATGTAGTGACTTCTCACCTGTAGAAGTACCTGTTTGCAGACTATGGCGTCAGAATTCCGACTCGGCGTCGTCGACCCCCGCCGGCTGAAATAATTCCAGGTGTAACGCACTAATAATAGATCGGTTTCACGCGACACGCGTCTCCGACCGTGGAGAATAATCTCACGCCATAAAAACGATATCACCTGCCTGACAGAGAGAGAGAGAGATCGGCCACGAACTACAGAACAATCGCACGACAGATAAGGAATGAAACGCTGGGGGAATAGTGGATTCAGAACACACAAAAAAAAAAAAAAAAAAAATACAAACTCTGACGACACTGTATTTGTGTGTGTGTGTGTGTGTGATCTGAGGTGTCGTCTGCCCGATCAGTTATCTCTAATCCCTCCACTCAGAGCTCCTTAACAAGTTGCCATTGTGCTGCCGACGCTTAACATGATGGAGGGACGACCTCGGCGGTGAATGAAAAGAAGAGGGAGACGACGGGATGGAGGGAGGGGGGGAGAGGGCGACACCTCCGACAATGGGGGAGAAAATTGGTTTACACTAGATAGGCCTGTGATTACAGAGGGAGAGAAGATGACTTGGATTGAACAATAGTCCTGAGTGTGTGTGTGTTGTGGATTAGTGGGTGGTTAGGACCGGGATTTGGTTGAAATGATTTGGGTGGGTATGCTGTGCTGATGGGCGCACGTTTCAGATGTTTATTTGTGGCAAACATTCCCGTGAACAAAAAAAAAACAAAAAACCCAGGGCTTTTATTTGCGGACAAAGCCGACAGCTACATGGGAGAGGAACAAATGACGCAGAACCCAAATAACGTTCCTGACAAAGCAACGCGTAATTCTAATCGGTTCCATCGTAAACATCCACTCAAAGACCGTGCAGGACGGCGCCTGAACTGTTCGGGCCCCTCCCTCCCCTCGAACCGTATCCGTTCTCCTCGCGGCCCGTGTTCCGTCTATTGATCACAGACTTCCTTCCATGTCTTTCTGTCCAGGAGGCGCAGCAGGAGAACTTCACCACCAGGGGTCCTGCTCCAGGGAACTCTGGGAAAGCCACTAACGAAGACGGCGTCTCGCAGGACCGTCCCTGCAGTTTACCGGTGAGTGACAGACGGTTCCCGGTGAAGGGAGAAGAGAGATGTTACTTGGAAAATATATAAATAAATATATAAATATATATGTAAATATATTTATGATTAAATACATATATATAGGGAGAAGAGGGATGCTAAACGGAAAATATAGTGTATAAATATATATATAAATATATATTTACGTATATAAATATATATGTAAATATATATATATTTATGTATTTAAATACATATATACATGGGAGAAGAGGGATGCCTCAGCGGCACTCTGTCTCTGCCCAACTCTGGTTTTCAACTCCTTGTTCGACCTCTGTTGTTACTAAAGGTTTCTAGTTATGACCCCGATGGCGGCCATGTTGACGTTTCTGGAGTGGTTAGCTTTGTGCTAGCTTCTAGAAGTTGGCTAATCCAAATGATACGGTGCTCAACCGCTGGGTGGTTAACTGTTTGAGCTCCGTCCATGACTGATGTTTTTAGTGTTTGGTGTGAATGGTGAATGGCGGTGTGAATATGTGACCCTGTACTTGACTGGTGGTGCCTTCAGGGTGCAATACCACCCCAGTCCTCCGTGAATGCTGTGATTAGCAAAATTAACATGATATATGATTATATGATTATATGTTATATAATACATAATAAATATATATAGATATTTAGATAACTATTTATAAAGTAAATTTTGGGACCAGACCCTGTTGGCCATCTGTGGTACTGCATCCCAATTGCATTTGTGAAGGGCTTAAAAATAGGACGCAAATTTATCAGATATTTTTTGGAGTCAAAATGTTTCTGATCTTAATCTTGATATGTTGAAAGCTAACGCTACCTTGTTAGCATCGGTGTTTATCCTGTGATGTGATTGGGTAGACAGACAGCACATGAAGAAATCCGTTTTTTGGGTCGTGACCCCCGACGGGACATGCGTCCGCTGACCCCCCTCCCCCGCCGAGTGTCCGTTCCTGAATAATTATGTCCTAGCGTATGTCGGTGTCGCGACCGCCGCGACCTTTCGAATCACAAACTCACGACACCTCGACCCTCGACCGTCGGCGTCACGCGCTCATCGGCTCCCACTTGCGCAGAGAAACATATGCGCGGACACAGGCGTCGGCGTTGAACACATGCAGACACACACGCAAACGGCGCCTCCTGGCATTTGGATGAGCTGGAAATCGTTAAGCAGGTTTCCTGGAGGAGGAGTAATTTAGGAGGAAATTCTGAGGCCAGACAGAAGAAAAAAACAACTCTGTAAGCTACTCTATTATTTTATTTATTTTATTTTATTTTGGCGAGTCGAGTTGTTTTTTTTTTATTCTTTTCTTTTCTCTCCATCATTTCCCTGCTCGCAGCTCCTCAGCACTTTCAAGAGTGGGAATAAATAGACGTTTTCAAAAAGTCGCAAATATTGGCACCGCTCCGAGTGTGTGCTCTTTAATTTACTACACACTTTGGAAG